CCACCCCCCCGCGCGGGGGGGATGTTTGAGCCCCTGCCGTACCTCACGGCAGACAGCTGGCCCGGGGCAAACGCTGCTCGTGTTGGCCCCGCAGCCCAAGGGACACCCTGGCTCTCACCCCGTGCCCGTCAATGAGAGCCAGCAGGGAGCAGCACGGGCTCTGCGGCTGCTGGGTGCCGTAGGTGCAGGGCAGGGGGTGGTGGCACAACCAGAGGGCTCTGACGCTGTGTTCAGTAGTAGCCAGCAGCATCTTGGCAGCTCGTAAATACCTCCGCACAGATAACGCAGCCCAAAGACGAAGGTCGCGTGTTTTATGAGCGCTCAGGCTTGCCCTCCCGGAATTGCCGGTCATAAAGACGTTTCCTGAGCGGCCGAGATTGCGGCTTTGCCCTCCCAGGGCTCCTCAGCCCGGGCAGCACCTGCGTTCCAGCCACAGGGGCACCTCGTGGAGAGGAGCCTAGCGAAGGCCCTGCCGCCCAGGTCCCTGCCCCGGGCCGGGTGGCCGGAGCAGGAGGCACAAGGTGCTGGGAGGCCACCAGGAGGGCTGTGGCCAAGCTGGGGCTGCACAGAGGGAATCAGGGAGGGAGATGGGGATGGATTCCCAAAGGGCAGTCGGCTCTCCCCGGACACGCGTGTTTGTCCCCGGCAGGTCTTCGGGGCCTGGGTCTGGATCCTCGTTGCTGCTACGTCCGTCTCGTTCCCACTACTGCAGGGCTGGGTGATGTATGTGTCCCTAACCTCCTGCCTCCTCTCCCTGCTGCTCCTTTTAAGTTACCTCTTCGGATTCCACAGAAACAGCGAGAACTGGAGAGTGCTGGTAAGGACGGGCTCAGAAACAGGGCAGAAGTCGGCAGCAGCCGCTGGTGACAGCAGAGGGGAGCGCAAAGCCACCGCTGCGCCAGCTGTGTGGGTGCTCAGCGGCCCCAGCGGAGGGGTGTGCAGAGGGGTGTCCCCCCGTGCCGCAGCGGCCCAGCCCGGGGCTGGACATGCTGGGGGCAAACGGGAGCCCTGTCTGGGCACACAAAGACTCAGCCCTCCGCTCCCCGCCAGGGAACAGCTCCCTGTGCCACTCGGGAGCTGCCACTGTGGGCAAGGCCGGGTCTCATCCCTGCCACTGAGCCCTGCTGCTCCTCGAGTCACAGCTGGTTTCTCAGCACTCACCCCCGGGCTCAACCCGGGTGCCCGTGCCCCATTCCAGCACCTGCAGAGGCACCTCCGGGTGACTTGGAGCGGGGCGACCCGGAGGTGGGTTCAACCCAGGCCTCTCCCTTGTTTCGCAGGACAGTTTGTACCACGGTGCCACAGCCATCCTGTACATGAGCGCTGCCGTCCTGCAAGCCAACGCGACCATCAACTCCGAGGACGGCCCCAACGCGCCGCTGAACTACCAGCTCAACACCGCTGCCTCGGTGAGTCGGCCACCTCCGCTCCCCGGGGACTGTGTGCCCGTGCACAAGCTGTCACGCTCCAGGGGGGCACAGAAAACCCCTGGCAAGCCAAAATATCAGCAATTTCCCCCTGGGGAGAAGCAGGAACAAGTGTTCCCGCTCCATCAGGGCCAGGAGGAACCCAATGTTGTCCACCCGCAGCGTGTCACACTTTGCAGCCAGATGTTACGCTGCACGTCCATGACCTCCGGACGTGCTCCTAAGGTTTGACCCCCTCTTCACCACCTGGGGCACTAGAATGGATTTCTCTGGGACAAACAGCTCAGGGACAACGTGTTTTCCTGGGAAACATTGAGGCGTTGCCTCTTTAGAAACTGGGGAGAGAAGTCTAGCTTGGGAGCTTCCCGCAAGACGTGAGTCCTGGGAGAAGATGGGGCTACTTGGAGAAAGGAACCCCCCTGAGCCACGCAGCAGCTGGACTCCAGCTTTTATCCTCCCTTCTCTCTTGCAGTTCTTTGCCTTCCTCACAAGCTTCCTGTACATCCTTCATGCCTTCAGCATCTACTACAAGTGAGCCTTTGCAACCACAAAGCGACAGCTTCCCCGCAGCCAGGAAAGTACCTGTTTCCAGCGAGGATTCCCAGGCCCGGCCGCTGCATCGCACCCCGCGGAGCTGACGGCTGTTCTTGTCGCTGCGCCAAAGGAGGGAGTTTTGTGGCTGGTGTCGCTGTGACTCCGTGGGACAGTTCTCATGTGGCCTGTGCGTCCTGTGTTCCGCCGTGGGGAGCTGTTGGCAGGGTCACCCGTCCCCTCTCTGCTGGCTGCCCCCTCTCGGCGGGGAGGCTGGGCGCCAGCCTCCACGCGCAGCCCCGGCCGTGCCAGATGGCACCGCACACTGGGTAGGGGAGAACTGGTTTGGGCTCCCAGCCACGCGCTGTCCTTGGTGGCGCACTGAGCCCAGCGAAGGCCGGGGGCCTTGGAGGCGACTTCTTGGCGCTGGGCTAAGGCCCTACTGATTCCCAGCGGGAATTAGGGCAGGAATTGGGGCAGCACCGGGTTCAGGCTCCCTTCTCCAGGTCACATACGCATGGGCACTCTATAAAATAAAGTGCAGATGCTATGGGGCCAGCCACTTCTGCCCCAAAGCAGGGGCTGTCTCTCACTTGATGTGCTCTCGAGAAAGGTTTGTCCAACCCTTCTGACCTGGCAGCCCTCTCCCTCTTGAAAGATTTTTTTTTCCCCTGCATTGTGTCATTTCTTGCACTCGTTGCCCCAAATCCCTCCTTGTCCCCTGGGGCCAGGACAGCTGTTTATTTCCTCCACCCACCGACCCCTGCAAAAACAATCCTTTCAGCAACACACTGAATTGACCCTAATTCTCTCACACCGCATTGTCATCGTAATAAACTGGGATTACGGGCATGTACAGTCCCAATTAGGACAACTTTAGGACCGTCGCTGTCCCCCTGCAGCGCCCGCGGATGTTGGCCCCATCCAGCAGAGGGTGGCACGAGCCCGTACAAGCCCAGGGCAGGCGACACAGCCCGCAGAAGGCAGCGTGAACCCACGCGAGGCTGGAGAGGGTAGCCTGAGCCCATGCAAGCCCCGAACGCTCACCGGGAGCCTGGAGGTGCCCACGGAAGCCTGCGCAAACGCACAGGGGCTGCACACATCTGTGCACGGCCACAGAGCCTGGCGTGGCCCCATGAAGACCTGCACAAGCCCATACTGATCACAGGGGCCGCTGCAAGCCTGTGCAGGGCAGCACGAGTCCGCAGGATGCCCTAGAGTGTGCTACGGGCCTGTGGAGGCCAACACAAGCCCTTTACAACTCCATAAAGGTCCTCACAAGCCCATAGCAGCCCACAGAGGCCATGTGAGCCCCAACAAGCATGTGGAAACCCCCACAAGCCTGTAAAAGCGCATGGAGGTCTGTACATACGTACAAGCCAACAAGAGTCTGAACAAGCCCGTACGAGCTCGTACTGTCCTGCACGAACCCACTGGAAGTGCCAGCACCCTCTTGGCCATGGGGCCTGTTGTGCTGCTCAAGGAGCTTGAAGGGTTGGTCTTTTCCTCCAGCCTACCGGGAGGGTGGCCAGAGCTCTCCTATGGCAGGATAGGTGGCCCTCACCTCCCGAAACAGACGGCCCAAAATGTGGCCAGTGGCTCTATGAAAAGGTGCTCTGTGTCCCACTGCCTCCTCACTCTGTTCTCCAGTTTGTCACCACCTTGAATCTACACCATGACCACCCTGCCCACCTGGACACCTTGCCCTCTCCTGCCCGGCCAGGCTAGACGTCTACTCCCACCTCCTACACAAACACATCTCCCTCTCCTTTCCTGGTCTCCACATCTCCCATGCTTCAGACAAGCTCTTGGCTTTCACTTGGGCAAAAGCGCCTGTCATGCAGGGGTGCCCGGAGCTGACGGACAGTAGAAAAGCACCTTCGCTCCCTTCTGAAGGCTCAGAAGGGTTCAGTTTGCTGCTGAAGTGAGCACCAGTGCCATTGCAGGGGCACCGTTGTGCTCAGCCACGGCCACAGCAGGACACTGTTGCTCTGATATGTTGCTCCATGATGGAGCCATGGCCTGAACCAAGACCTATGTGCTGATCCCTGCACTGTGTCCCACCCTTGTGGCCCTCCCCAGGTCTCCTCCTGCCCTTGCCCTGTGGATTGGATTCCCAGCTGGACCCCCAACCTCCTTCATTGCCACAAACCCACCTGATGACCCCGGCATGGAAGCCAGCCTCGCTTGGCTCACATGGGTCCTGTGGGACACGGCCCTGGCCGCTGCTGGCCCTGCCCCGCGGGCTGCGGATGTGCCTAACACCTCGAGGTGTTTAAACCGTGAGGTTTAAACAGCTTCCCGCCTAGTCCCTTTACGGACCCCAGACCAAGGTAGTTCTGCTCACTGTCGCTTTAGGGCACAACACTCAGGAACGCGAACACCTTCGCTTTAAGCGTTGTCTTGCTCTGCCTCAGCCCCTAAA